GTATATTATGTGAACTGCTGTATGAAAAGTGAATTTACTCTGTAAATCTTCACCCAAATCAAAATAAAATTAAAAAAAAAAAAATTCCTCAGGCTAAGTTGCAGTGCTACTCTTATATTCTAGGAAGTCTGTTCCCTCACTCCCCTGGTTCTCTGATCAGGGTGGAGGGAACCTCAAATAAGTTGTTATAACAAACCTTGCTGATTGCAACCACAGGGTGGGGTTGGGAGGAATGGCTGGTTCTGGTGGAGGAGAGCCCCAGGGCTAAGAAGTGACAGTTGATGGCTGACACTTTCCTTTTCTTTCCCTTTTCCCCTGCTTGGAACTCCTCTAGCCTCCTCCCAACTTTAGGGTCCTTTACTAAGACCTCCTCTTCAAGCCCATTGTATCTCTAGGGTCTGAGGAAGGCTAAGAAGAGAAGAGGAGAGGGGATTGCAGGGGAGGGGGCCAGAGGGAGACCTTGGTGCCTAGAGTCTCTGTCTTGGGCTAGGCCTGCCCCAGGGAGGATCCTTGGCAAAGTGCTCACACCTTATGCTTGGTGGTGCTAAAGGCAGATCTAAATGGACAAGGAGGAAGTTTAGTGGCTTTCCTTCCATCTCCACTCAGCAGCTTTAAACATGGAGTCCTGGCTGGGTGAAGAGGTCTACCTGGGAGGGGACCCTGAGCCAGGAAATACACAGTTACTAGCTGTAAAAAGACCTTGTCCCCGCTGCTGGGGACCTGCCAGGCAGTGAGATGTGATTAGGAGCATACATGATGGAAAGGGTGGGATGGGTGGATGGGAGCCAGTCTCATTCATCATGGGGCCTTAGAATAGCACTCCTGTAGAATTGGGGTACCAAGGAATAACCTTATACTGAGGCAGGGGGCTGGCTGAATAACTACCTTGGATCATTTTGGTCAAATTTGGGGAAGTCATTGCATTCCTATTCTCAGCCTAGTTCCCTTCGAAGGGACTATACCAGCCCCAGGGCAGGTCCTGGTCAGATCTGGGTGGATAATGAGCCTGTTTGGTCCCACAGATATCAGAGGCCCCTTTTATGCTCTGGGGGAGCTTGGGTGCAACTGGGTCAAAGCCCAACCAGGACTTTTTCCAGATTGATCCCTTTATGCAAGAGTGGAATGGGGGGCCTTAGGGTGCTTTTAGGGAAGAAAACAAGGGAAGTTGAAGAGTTGGAGGAGAAGGGGGACTTGGGAGAAGGTAAAGAATTAGGGGGAAAGACAGGAGAGAAGTTGTGAACTGGGGAAAGCAGCCAAGGAATCCTGGGGGTGATAGGAAGGCTGAGGAGAACCCCTCAATTCTGTTTAGAAGATTAGCTGTGAGCCTGGGCTGGGGCTAACAGAAAGAAGCCTTGGCCCCCAGCCTGGTGGGAGCCTGGGCAGCTGGCCTACAGACGTTCCTTAGTGTTGGTGTGTAGGCTTGAATCATCACTCAGGCCTTCGCTTCCATCTGCCCCCACCAGCCCCCTGGCCTCAGTTCCCTGGCAGCATCTGGGTAGGGGGGGTTAGTAGGAACAAGGGCCTCTGTCTTGCCCAGCTGCCTCTCCCTTTGGGCTCTGCCAGACTCCACAGTGTATACGTGGGTTCCATCAGGTCCTCTCTCTCCTCCCCCCACCCCTTCCCGCCACTGAGTAACCCTGGAGAGAGACACGGCTTTTTGCTCTCAGTTCAACAAACTTGGTGCCAAATTCTTCTTCCAGGGAAGCATCCCTGACACTGTTGGAAGGACCCTAGTCATCCCAGCAGGTTGGCCACAGCTTACTCCGAGGTCTGATGGCCAGAACAAGATTCTAGATGGACACATTATCCTGGGGGACACACATGCTCCTCCCTGAGCCCAGCACCCGGGTCTCTGTGCATGGGGCCATTCGAGGAACGCGGCTGTTTGGGAGTTGAGAAATGGGGGATGGTCAGGAGTAAACTCCCCTTACCTTCTTCCTGAGACTCAGTCCCCCTTTAGCCAGAAGCTGGGGTGTTCAGACTGTAGTCACTAGGGGGCGCTCGGCCACCACAGGGAAACAGTGGCAGCGTGCTGGCTGAACTTGGGAGAGCAGCGTCTGCGTGAGAGTGAAGACGGGTGTGAGTGTCAGTGTGAGTGTCAGTGTGTGTATGTGTGTGTATAAAAGATGAGAGTGTTGGAGGGGATAGAAGGTCAGGAGTCACTCCACGATTCCAATTAGATCTGTATCTCTATCCTCACCGATCTCTGTCCGTTCCCCCTCCAGTGTTTCCAGCTAAGAGAGAATGCGATCTCCCGCCCTGTCCGCACATAACCTCACTTTATTGCTGCCTCCTCCCGAATACCCCGCGGGAGTGTGTGTCTCTGGGCACAGTTTTGGGGGGTGGGTGGGTAATTTTCAGGCTGTGAACTTTGGTGGGAGATCGTGCTTTTCCTTCACTGGGGTGGGCGGGGGGCCCTGGCTTTGCTTGGAGTCCCCGGGGGAAGGGCGAGCCTCCACTGAGCGTTACTAGCGCCTGGGGCCTGAGGGGCTGGAGGCGAGGGGGCGCGGCTCGATCTGTCGCCGCCCCCGGGCCGGGGCCGTGGGCGGGGACCCGGGGGGGGCGGAGCCAATAATCTATTTTTTTTTTAAGTCGGCTGGTGTCGGTGAGGAGCGCAGAGGGTTCGGGCCGCTGGGCTGCGAGGCGGTGGCAGCAGCGCTCTGTTGGGAGACGCGGCTGCGAGCGGACGGACCCGCGAGGTCACAGAGCTGGGGCCTCTGCACTGGAATTTGATACTCGTTTACCTGGGGTTTACCCCTTTGCTTTTTTCTTAAACATTTTAAAAAATCGTATTCTTTCCCGTTTTAATTTATTTTTGCTTCCCATTCCTCACTTAAATCGGGCCGACGGTTTGGGGGATTGCTCCTCTACCCCCCCAAGTCACTTCGGATTTTGGAAACCAGCAGCGAGAGGAAAGAGGTAGCAAGAACGCCAGACAGAAGTCGAGGAAGAGAGAGAGACGAGGTCAGAGCGCACGAGCAAGCGAGCTACGGGAGGGACAGGGGCAAAGTGAGTGACCTGCTTTTGGGGGTGACTGCCAGAGCGCGGCGTGAACCCTCCCCCTCCGGATCCCGCATCTGACCAGCCGCGCTGACGGACAAACAGACAGACACCGCCCCCCGCCCCAGCGCCCACCTCTTCTCCGGCCAGCGGCCGACCGTGGACGCGGCGGCGAGCGGCGGGCAGGAGCCGGAGCCCGCGCCCGGAGGCGGGGTGGAGGGGGTCGGGGCTTGCGGTGATGCACTGAAACTTTTCGTCCAACTTCTGGGCTGTTCTCCCTCTGGAGGAGCCGTGGTCCGCGCCGTGAGAGCCGAGCCGAGCGGAGCTGGGAGAAGTGCTAGCTCGGGTCGGGAGGAGCCGCAGCCGGAGGAGGGGGAGGAGGAAGAAGAGAAGGAAGAGGAGGAGGAGAGGGGGCCACGGCTGGGCGCTCGGAAACCGGGCTCATGGACTGGTGAAGCGGCCGTGTGCGCAGACAGTGCCCCAGCCGCGCACGCTCCCCAGGCCCCGGTCAGGGCCTTGGCTCCTGGAGGAAGAGGAGCCCGACGAGGCGCGGAGGAGAGCGGGCCACCCCGCAGCCCGAGCCTGAGAGGGAGCGCGAGCCGCACCGGCCCCGGCCGGGCCTCTGAAACCATGAACTTTCTGCTTTCTTGGGTGCATTGGAGCCTTGCATTGCTGCTCTACCTCCACCATGCCAAGGTAAGGGGCTGTACCCGCCTGGCGCTGCGGGCCGCTGCGAGCGCCTCTCCGGAATGGGGACGTGCGTGCGTGCGAGCGCGCGCGTGGGGGGATCGGTGTCCCACGCGGTTCTATGGGCACCGGGCGCGCAGCATCCCCCTCTATCATCGTACGTGTAAGGGGACGCGAGCTAGGTGGGAGGGCACCAGGATAGAGTCTCGCCGCCCACGCGGGCCCTGCCCACCCACCAGAGTCACCGCACGTACGATCTGGGCCGACCAGCGGAGGGCGGGAGCCAGAGGAGGAGGCCGAGGGGGCTGGGCTTGCGCTGCCGCCGGCGGCTGAAGTTTGCTCCCAGCCGCTGGTCCCCGACTAACTGGAAGTCGGGGCAGCGGGGGCGGGTGCCAGAGCCCAGCGGGGAGGGGGTGCTCGGACCTTGGACTAAGGAGGGCAGAGAGCGTGGAGGGGGGAGGGCGCAGGCGAGAGAGGGGGCTCGCTGTCAATGCTGCTCGGTCTCTTCTGCCCTATCCGCGAGTTTGGGAAAAGTTTTTGGATGGGTTGCAATGGAGACCCTCTCCTCGCCTGGCCACCTGCGCTGCGCCACCCCCGCCCGTCCCCGCTCGCGTCCCGCTCGGTGCCCGCCCTCCCCCGCCCGGCCGGGCGCGCGCGGCGCGGAGCCGATTACATCAGCCCGGGCCTGGCCGGCCGCGTGTTCCCGGAGCCGCGGCGGCCCGAGCAGGGAGCCCCGGGCGGCGAGAGGCGCCCCTCCCCCCGCCGGCCCTACGCGGGAAGGTGACCTCTCGAGGTAGCCCCAGTCCGGGGACCTAGGCAACTATCCCTGACCCTTTCCGCAGTCCCTGCCCCTTCGTCCCTCGTAGGTTAGGAGGAATTACCGGACGCCCCTTCACCCTTTCCCTATTTTCTCCCTAGAGTGGCGAGAAAACCCTGCTATCCTTTTATTTTTAACTCTCCTCCCCAGAGAAGCCCCTGTCTGGCCCCTCTCTTGCCCCAGACTCCCGGGAAAAGGACGATTACTATCACAAGTCGGGGATCGGAGCTCCGGGCAGTGCTTTGTGGAGACTCTACCTATAGTCGCGACCTGGTGACAGTCGGCTTCTCTCCCCTCCCCCACACTTCCGAGAGGAGCAACACTTAGCCTTTTTGGGGGTGGCCAAAGGGAAGGTTTAAAGAGTGTCACTGTTTCACTTTACACTGACGGGGGGCGGCTTAGGAGTAGCCCTCCCTGAACCTTCTGAAGGGGTACTGCTCCCCACCTCCATGGCTTGTGAAAGTGAATCTTGACCTTCCACAGCCTTGGGCACCCCCTCCACCAAATTCTTGTGGTGTAACCCAGGAGGAAAAGAGGACTGACTGCCGTCCACCCCCCAGAGCATGTACTTTGTCCTGGTGGAGTGGGACGTTGGAGCAGGGAGCTGGAGCAGGTGGTTTTTGGAACTCCAAACTTGCCCACCCTACCTGATTCTCAATGCCACCCAAGGGAGCCCCTTCCTCTCCTTCCTCTCCTCCCTTACATCCTTCCTCAGCCACCAAGTCCCCTTGGAGAGGAGGCAGAAAGAAGGAAATGGGCAAGGGGTCCCCGCTGCCACCCAGAGTTTCTCAGACCCTGGCACAAAGGCCTTGGCTCCAGGCCTCAGGGTGTGTGTGTTGGGGGGAGGAGTGGCTGCCTGGCCACAGTATGACCTTCAGAGGCCCCCAGAGAAGGGCACCTGGCCCCTCCCCACCCAGAACCACTCCTCCCAGTGCCCCCTGACTTTGGGGGGGGGGATTATGAAGTTTCTGTCTTCTTTCCTCCTTGGAGGCCAGGAGGAGTGAGGAGTGGGGAGTGTAGGAAGAAGTTGGCAGGGAGAAGCCAGGGGATGTTTTGGGAATGAGTGAGGAACAGAGGTGTGTGTGTGTGGGGCTCCTTGAGGGAGCTATAGTGGGAGGCTGTCCAGCTGGGAGTCTGGGAACGCTTATCTTGCCTTGAGAGGGGCTTCCTCTGGCATTGGCCCTGGGGGCAAGGCTGGGGTTCTAGGGTGCATTGGGGGTACATGGGAAGGAGAGAGACAGACAAGTGGAACTCCCTCTTTGAGGTCTGGAGTTCAGGAGGCTAGAGTGCAGCCCTTCTGCCTGAGATTTGCTCCACAAGAGGAGCAGGTGGGTGGGGAGTTAGTGAGAACTAGAGACCCTCTGAAGGGTTGGAAGAAGCCTTTGCCTGCTGGGCACTGTCAGCTCCACATGGCTGGGCTTGTTGACCTTCACAGCTTCTAGGGAAGGGAGGAATCATCCGGTGGGGGTGAGGAGGGGTTAGGGAGGCCTCAGGCCTAGGTAGGGCAGGGAGCCCCCTAGGGGCTGGGCAGTGGAAAGGCATAAAAGGCTTCTCTGGTTGCATTTGAGGAAGGTGCCCAGGTGAGAGGGTGTTGGGACCCCCTCATTCTGGGAGGGGGAAGAAACCAAGGAATAAGGTAGGAGTGGGAGGCTGAGGAGGCTTTGGAAATTGTCAGGATCTGGGGAAATTTGTGCAGGAGGAGAGAACGGCATTCCCCTCCTTACCCCCCAAGGTTTCGTCCCAGGATTTTACCCTCTAGACAACCTGTGGGTGTGCATTGTTCCTGAGAACTGGAAGAGTTTGGATGGGGGAGGGTGGCTGATGCCCTTCAGTCCTCTGCACCCCCCCAACACCAGCTCACCCTGGTATTTGTCATGTCAGCAGGAGAAGGTCACCATGTTGTTCTTCTCACCCCCAGCCCTTCCTTCCTGCCCCAGTCTGAACTTGTCCTCCTGTTTGACCCTACTACTCATCTGGCTTTGGACCAGGCAATTGGGGAGGCTGAGGAAATTCGCTTTCTTAGTATAGCAATGGGACAGCGAGAGTGAAGAGTGGAAAGTGTAGGGAAGGAGCAGGGGTGTTTTTCTCCTGGATTCTGAGCTCCCCACCCCCAATATCTGGTTAGTCTTTAACGTCCTTGGATTCAGAATCAGAGCAGCCCAGGAGTAAGGGGCATGCTCTGTCCCTTCAGGGATGCCCCAACTTTGCCCTGTGCTGCTTGGAGGCCTTGGAGAAGCCAGAGGCTGTGTCTAGGAGGGAAGCAAGGAGGAGGGAGGCGTGGTGACTTGACCTCTCTACCCCTGCCCATGCCTCACTCTTCTATCCTCAGTGGTCCCAGGCTGCACCCACCGCAGGAGGAGCAGAGCAGAAATCACGTGAAGGTGAGTCCCCTTGGCTCTTGGATGGGCCCCCTGTCTCCCCAGGGTATGGGTGGGGAAGCCCGGTTCCTTCCCTTCAGGCCTGTGTGGGGATGAGGTCCCAGAATGTGGGGATCCAGAAAAAGAGATGAACACCCTGAGGTTAACCCATTAATTTCTTGAGGATTGTCTCACCTCTTCAGTCACCTGCTAGAAATAGAATTTGTTAGCTTTTCTTCTGCTCCTTCCATTAAAGTTTTATGTGGAGAGGAAACCATGACCACAGACTAGATCCTAGATGTCTAGGGAGGCACTCCTCCTCTGCTCCCAGGGGAGGATGGATGTTCTGTCACCTACCCAGCTATGCCCACCTGTGGGTTCTGTTTGGTGGGCTCTGAGACCCCTTCTGTCAAGACAGTTAGCTGTGTGAACTGCAGGTGCTTAGCCCAGCCCAATAGGACTCCCTCCCCCAGTTTTGCATTCCCTTAGGGGTGGAGAAAGCCCTCAAACTGCCAGACTGATGGCCTGCCAGCCCTCCCTCCTGCCGTGTGGAGTAGGTCTGGGTGCTGTGAACTTCTCTCTCGGGCCAGCAGAGGGCTGGCTGTAGCTTCAGGTGCCCCGCCCCCTGCCCAGCCCCCGATGCTGACTGCCTTTTGTTCCTTTGCGGTTTGGAGTGTGGGATCCTCCCTTTTCTCTGGGGACGTCCTGGCTCTCTCCACCACTGAGTGTGGCCTCTACTCCAGTCTGAGGAGGGGTGCCCATCCCTACTCCTCCAGCTCTGCCCCCTGAAGAGGGAAGGCCCCAGGACCTTCCTCTAGGCCAGTTTCCCTAAGCCAAATCCACTGTGGCTTGGGGTCCAGGCCAGGGGCAGTATTTTAACCCGGAGCCTGGTGGTGCCCAACCGGTTCTGCATCCTCCTTCCCCACCCCGGGCAGCACTTTCCCGGGCCCTGGCCTGACTTCCCAGCCCCTGTATGACCTGTGCCACTGACAGATACTGTCCCCCCGCCGTGTGCCACCGCCTGCCTGGGCTTCCCAGTGGTCTCTGTGGTCTGGGAGAGGCAAGACAAATGGCCTTTGTTTAGTGGAGAAAAGGTTGTCTGTGATAAATAAGGAAAACCACGAAAGGCTTACGTTGGAGTATGTGTGTACATGACCTGTGAAGAAGGACAGGCTTCCTTGGAGGCAGTGGCTGGGGGTCCAAAGCATGCTGGTGATGTTGCCTCTACCCCCACTCTCACCCACCCCACCACCTCCCATTTGGTTTGGAGATGCCAGGGAGAACGTTTTCAAAGGAATGCCTAGCGTAGGTCTTTGTACCTTCAGCTGCTGACTGCCATCGCCCAGGCCAGACCTTTCCATCATCCCCTGCTAAGTGGGGACCACCTCTGTTCCCAACCACAATAAAATGTCGGTTGAAGAATTCTTGATTAGTCATCTTCTTTAATATAGACTTGGCTTAAAAAAACATGACTTCTTCAGAGCCCTGTCTCATTTACTTTTTTAGTGACTCTTTACCTTAATCCTTTGTGGGTAGAGAAATATTGTGCCCATTGTCCAGATAGGGCAAGTAGAGGCCTTGGGCAAGGTCAGGGGCTGGTTTGGACTCTTACACTGTTCTCTTTTCTGTTTTCACACCTATGGCTTTCTCACCACATATTTTCCCCAGCCACATTCATCTCAATGTGTATACACCCCGGTTATCATCTTCCATTTCCCTTCTGGAAAGTAAAGTGGAGAGAGGAGCACAGGGGTCAGCTACAGTCTCTGGGGAGAGGGCAGTTTACATTTAAGATGGCTTGGTGAAATTCTAAAATTTGTGTTACTTGGGCTGAGAATGGGCACCTGTTCTTGCAGTTGGGAGGTGGAAGATAACTCTCTCCGTCCACTCTCCCCCAGTTCCACCTCCATTTCAGGGATTTCAGCAATCAGTCCAGTCCCCTTGGAGAGAGGTGTGGGGTCTGAGACCCAGAAAGGGAAGGGACTGGCCCAAGGTCACACTAAGGCATGGATGGAGCCCGGGCCTTTGAGTGCTGCTTCTTCCTTCCTGAGTCAGGGACAGGATTGCTGTGTGGTAGTGGTGGGGGTGTGTATGGGGAGTGGCTGAGCCACAATTTGGAGCAGTCATTCCTGAGTCCAGCGTTTACTTATTCTCATGGGACCCGCCCCTGTGGCCCAGAATTACCCCTTCATGCTCCAGTGCACCCCAGGTTCTGCAGCCAGTCTGGGAAACTATCTTTACCCTGGTCTCCCTCCAGATCAGCTTCTAGAAATGCTCTGTGGCTGCAATGGCAATGTCGTGTTTCCCATGATGCAAGCAGATTGCCCTTTGGGTGAGGTTATCGGTGGCTGGCAGTGCCCTCGCAGCGTGCCCGCCTACTGCCACCTGCCAATTCCAGGCAGGCCCAGCCCCTGTGCTGAGGCCCACTCCCTCCTGAGCCTGTGGCCAGAGAGGGTATCTGGTAGGTGGCAAAATGCCCCCTGAAGCTGCCCCTCTGCTTTTGCATGGCCCAGGCTTGGGAAGACTTTGATGTCTTAGCTGATCTGAACTGCACCACTTATTAGCAATGTGGCCTTGAGGCAAGTTATGTAGCTTTTTTGAGGCTCCAATTCCCCATTTGTCAACCAGAGGGTGCCTAACAGTTCCTACTAGCACCTTTGGGGAGAATTGAGGGAGATGATGTGTATGGAAGGCTGTCCACAGTGCCCAGGTCATAGGTGCTCAATAAATGGTTGTTGGTGAGGCTGTTGCTATGGCAGTGGTTGTGGGGAGGTTATAGGGAAATGGGAACAAGTTGGCAAAGCCAACAGTTCTTCCTTTAAGGGAAATCACATATAGCATGTGGCAGGGTTCTTACTATCTCCCCACCCCCAACAGGTAAACCCACATTCATGCTACCCCCTGGCATTGGGGTTGAACCAGGAATTGGCTTAGCTGTCACAGTGAGGCAGGGTAGTTAGATATGGCAGGGTATCTCCCTTGGAGCCTGAAAACATGCCATAAATTTTGGAATAAAAAGTATTGATGGTGGAAATATTAGGAAAGGGCTTCAACCATGGCAGGAGGGACTCAAGTTAAATTTTTGGAAGGACTTACCTGACAGCGGACACTTCTCACAGAAGCCCTGAGGCCTTGTAGGGCTGAGTGGTGTGGGAGCTGGCTATGTCCAGAGTGACCCACTAGGCTCAGGTGTTACTCTCTCCTGTGCAGTGGTGAAATTCATGGACGTCTACCAACGCAGCTACTGCCGTCCAATTGAGACCCTGGTGGACATCTTTCAGGAGTACCCTGATGAAATTGAGTACATTTTCAAGCCATCCTGTGTGCCCCTGATGCGGTGCGGGGGCTGCTGCAATGATGAGGGCCTAGAGTGCGTGCCCACCCAGGACTTCAATATCACTATGCAGGTGGGTACCTTGGAGGAGTGGGATGGGGTGGGCACAGGGGTAGGATGGGCATTAGATTTTGGGAGCGGCTGGTCCCAGATGCTCTTCTGGGAAGCTCTTGAGAGGAGGAGCTGGACTTGGCTTCCCTTGCGCCTACCTCTGAGTGGGACTGAGGAGGTGGGGTGGAGTCTTGCTGGGCCCTCTGTGGAGGAGAAGATTGCCCAGGTTCCCAGCAAGTCCTGACCACCTCCTCCTCCCTGGCCTTTGCCCCCTGGGCTTAGGAGGGTCTGGCACCTGTGACAGGAGCCCTTCTCTCCCTCTCTTGGAGAGAGCCTTTAGAGTCTTCCCTCCTTGGGTGCTCTGTTCAGGAAGCTGGGTGAGCAGTCTTGGTGGTGCCCAGTGAAAAGGCATTTCCTGGTCTTGATAGAGCAGGAGGGAGTTCTGAGATACCAAGGAGTGGGTAGCTACTAAGGGTCAGGGTGGGGCCTCATGGAATGAAGAGATGGGGGGATTGGGAGTGGTGAGAACCAGGACTTGAATTCCCAGCCTGGCCAACCCTTGTAGCCACCTTTGCTCTCAAGAGGAGCAGGGGCTCCCTGAGGTCAGCAGGGTTGGGGGAGTTGGGATGGGCCTGAGCCTCTTCCCAGCTAGAGCCCCTGCCCTCCCTACCTCCACCACTCATCCCTGCTCTATAGAATCCCTAGGTGTTGAGTGGCAGGAGCCCCAGGGTGTCCCATCTGGGTATGGCTGGCTGGGTCACTAATCTCTGTGATCTGCTACCTTCCCCTCAGATTATGCGGATCAAACCTCATCAAGGCCAGCACATAGGAGAGATGAGCTTCCTACAGCACCACAAATGTGAATGCAGGTGAGGCTGGAGACCTGGGTTCATATGTACAGCAAGGTGCCTGCTTGACACTGAGGTTAAGCACGTCCCACATGTTAGCCCATTTCCATCTTGGCAATTTACTTCAATGTGCCTCAGTTTCCACATTTGTAAAATGGCCACAATAGTAGGTTTGTGCCTCGTAGCACTGTTACAAGGATTAAATGACTTATTATATGTAAAGGGCTTAAAACAGTGCTCATACATCATAACTATCACATTAACTTTGTGAGCAGCTGCTAATGTAAAAGTTGACTATTTGAACCCACCCAGTGGCTTGTGGAAGAAAGACCTGGCAAACTGATTCTGTAAAGATGACAGCCAAGAAAACCCTATGAAGCACATTTACTCTGTAATATGGGGGTCACCATGTTGGGGGCTGACTCGATGGTAGCTAACAATAATTATTATTATCATCACTATCGTAACTCCTCTCTTTGTTTTGTTCTTTCCCCCTGTCCACTGCAGACCAAAGAAAGAAAAAGCAAGACAAGAAAAGTAAGTGGCCATGACTTTAGCACTTGTCCATCTCCTTGGCCTGTTGTCTTGGTTTGGGACTCTTGACTTCCTCTGTCAGGAGGTCTGATGACTTCACTGGGTTAGGGAGTTGATTTTGTGGGGACTTGTGTGCAGCAGTGGGATGGTGCAGACTCCAGCAGTATGGCTCTAGGGTGAGTGAGAAAACCTAGCCTGGAGCTTCCTGTGGAAGAGATGATGCCCACCAGGTCTCAAGGTCATTCTTAGATAGGATTTGATATTTTGGTGTTTGGGGGGCAGTGTGAACACTGGCTCCCTGGCCTCCCTAGGGCCCCTACAGTGGGGAGTGGGGTGTGGGGTGGCAGAGAGGCCAGCTTTTGTGTGTTTGAGGAGATGGCCTGTTATCGTGGCTACTGTGGTGGTACAGTTGGCCTGTGGGGATGTGTTCACGGTTCAGGCCCTCCTACAGGAGTGGGGCCACAGGAGACACTTGGCCCTCTTGGCTGGGGAGAAAGATTGAACACTGATCATTTTCTGAGGCAGTTTTCTAATTTCCGCAACTGAAGGTCAGGTCGGAATGAGATATGGGGCAGGACTTGGGGGCAAGTAGCCCACATGGCAGGTGAACAGCTGGCATCAGGGATGAGCTTGCAGTGAAAAAGAGACTGAGAGAGAGCACCTATGCCCTTCCCTCCTCCCTATCTTCCCGCATCACCCTGTCTGCCCTCAACACTCTGGGGCAATAGGCCCCCTAGGCCCCAACCTCTTGCTGTTTGCCTAAGTCTTCAACTTCCAGGGTTGCTGTGGCTGCCAGAGCAATGATTTGGGAGAGTTGACTCAGAGAGAGAGAGAGAGAGAGAGAGAAAGAGAGTTGTATGTCTGTGTATGTGAACTGCCCCCCCCATGCTTTCTCCTGATGGGGAGCTAGACATGCTACTCCCCTGGGTGTCCCTTCTTGCCTCCCACCTCATTTCTCCCCCTGTTGGCAACCATTCTGAGGTACCTTCTCCTCTCAGGTTGGCAGATGTGGAGAGTGCTGGTTCCCTTGAGGGGGACAGGCTATAGCCTGTCCCCCTCGCCTGTTCCCCAAATACCTGCTTTGCCCACAGAAAGCAGGGGGTTCGCCTGGGCTCGGAAGATTGTCTAGTGAGGTGGTGTAGCAGGCTTTCACAGGCTGGGGAGAGAACTTTCTGCCAAGTGACATCTGGCCCCTCCTCCCCATGCCTCCTCCACTCCCACCCCACCCTACCTCCAGCCTGGGGTTCTGATGACACCCAGCCCCACCTCTCCAGCCCAGGTTATGACTGGATCGGCTGGTGCCTTTCATGTGCCCTGCTTGGTCTTGTGCCAGCACCCAATGTAGCTGTTCCCCCATACCATGATTCCCTGAGGCAGGGCCTCTAGAGGGACTGCCTTGCTTTTGCACTTGAAAATGGAGGCAGAAGTTGTCCAGAGCACAGTCCCTCCCTACCACATCAACTCAGGTCTCCCCACTCTAGTCCACCTTTAGGACAGACTAGCCCAGGGTTACTGGGGAAAGGCCTGCCCTCAGAGCTTTGCCTTTTGCCAGGAAACAGCAGCTGTCACAAACAGGGAGACCCTCTGGTCCTGTGGCCTCTATCCAGTCTTTGCTTCTTATCTAAAGACTTGCCTAGGGCTGGGTTTGCTGCCCTGGGGTGGCCAGATTGAGGAGGAAACTGAGTGAAAGTGTTGGAGTTGTCTCCTGGAACCCCTGCCTCCTCCCTCCAGTTGTCCTGTCCTACAGATTGTTTGAGTTTTCCCACCCTTGTCCTCCCGACTGCTTCTTTTCCTCTTCCCTTCCCCCTCGCTGTCTCTCTGTCTGTCTCTGTTTTTTATTTTCCAGAAAATCAGTTCGAGGAAAGGGAAAGGGGCAAAAACGAAAGCGCAAGAAATCCCGGTATAAATCCTGGAGCGTGTACGTTGGTGCCCGCTATTGTCTAACTAATTCCCTGGCGCCTCCCCAGCTCCCAGTCAAACTCCTGCCGGGAGCATCCCATAACCCTGCCTCCCTCCCTCCCGCCATCCTTTCCTCCTGGCCACAGTGTCTCTCTCGCTCACTCCACTAATTGGCACCAATGGGTAGATGTGGTGGTGGTGCTGCTGGTTCAGGGATGGGGTTGGTTGGTTGGCTGGGTGGGTGGGTAGAGTGAGCCTGGAGGATTCAGGGAGGGAACTCTGGCTTGGCTGGGCACCGACTTTCTCTCACCCTCTGGCCGCTGGTGGCAAGCCCATGTTGGTATGGGTGTCAGGCATAGGTGTCCCCTCACCCAACTGGTTTCTACTGCTCTAGACTTCTGCACTTGTCTGGAAGCTGAGGGGGACTGGGAAGGTAGATGTTGTGTGAGGAAGGGGTGCAAATGAGTGTGAGGCAGCTTGTTGTTGGCTGAAGGAGGATGTTGGCAGGGTCAAGCACCATCCTGGTCATTTGGAAGAGACACCTTGGCTTCTCATGGACTTGGGGACTCTGAAGGGGAGCCACTCATTCCAACCCAACCCATGGCACCACAGAACCCTCTCTATATGGCGGCTCTTCCCTGGGCTGGATGCTGTGATGGGTTCTGTCCTGGGCCCTTGGGTACCAGTGGCCTGGCCTGTGGACACTGCCTCAAGACTTGGCCTCTCATTATGCTTACCTTTTGTGGAGGGGCCTGAGCAGGAGCCTCATGCAGCGAGAAAGTGGCCTCTGGCGATCTCAGTGGCCTCCTAGTTGCTGTCCCCAACAGGTGAAGAGTTAAGGTGTGCTCTTTTAGGGGTGGCAGCAGTTGGGGCCTTGTGGCCCGAGACCTCCCTGGTGTCCATGGGACACAGCACTGCCCCTTCTGGCAGCCTTCTTCCTGCATCTCTGCCCATCTGTGCCCACCTCTTCCTGCGGGCAGGTCTCCTAGCCAGTGCTGCCTCTCTCGCCGCTCTCTGTCTTCCACTGTAGTGCTCGGATCCTTCCAGAGGGGCGTGGGGGCCGAGTAGCCGGGTGGGGGTGCAGCTGCGGATGTGTTAGGGGGTGTTGCATGGTGTATTTTTTCCCTCTCTTTCTGCTGACGCTCTAGCTTAGATGTCTTTCCTTTTGCCTTTTTGCAGTCCCTGTGGGCCTTGCTCAGAGCGGAGAAAGCATTTGTTTGTACAAGATCCGCAGACGTGTAAATGTTCCTGCAAAAACACAGACTCGCGTTGCAAGGCGAGGCAGCTTGAGTTAAACGAACGTACTTGCAGGTTGGTTCCCAGAGGGCGAGCAAGTCAGAGAGGGGCCTCATGCAGAGATGGGGAGAGAGCGAGAGAGCATGCACGCCTGAGAGGGGCCGCCCGCTTGCTTGGCTTCTAGCTGTCTGCCTAGTGATTACTACCTTCTCTTGCTTTCAAGGCCCCTGTGGTGGGCAGTGGGCGCTGGTCCAGCCTGGCGGTGCCTGTTCAGAGGTTACCCTGGTTGCCTGAGTGGGTAGGCTGGTGTGGCTTCATGTGGTGGTGTGGACTCCAGCTGTGTGTTGTGTCACGTGGTCCTACTACTTGTGGTGGCTGTTGGTCCTGATGTTGTGATACTACTTCTGCTACTAATACTGGGAGCCCTTCCAGCTGTGTGGAACACTACGGTTTACAAAATGGCCTGGCCATAGTCTGCAAGGTCGGGCTCTTCAGCCCCTCAATATTTCTCCATGGAGGTAAAAGTTGAGTCTCTCCCCTCAGGCTGGGTGCTCCCTGAGAGCAGGGGCTCTTATTCTTGGGTTAGGGTGGGAAGTTCTTCCCATTTATTATAGAAGATTTAGCATCCAAAGACGCCAGATGTTTTAATCCTCTGCAGTTGTAGTGGCAAACAACCCCACAAACAGCCCCACTTCTTTCCAAATGCCTGTAGGATATGTGGGGGTGGGGGCCAGGCCCACTGTTCTAACATTAACTTATGGACTCCTTATAGCCTGGCTTGGTTTATTCCCCTTGGTGACTGTCCTATGTCCACAGTGGGGACCAAGAAAAATGTCAAACGCATGAGTGAGAATATGACCGAGTTCAGGGGGTGAAGTTAGGAACACAAGGCTGGGATAGGTGGCTGGCAATCTTGATGCCTGGACTGGCCTGTCCTCTGGGCCAGGGTAAGCTTCGCCCAGGGTGGAGGGGCTTTTGTGGGACCTCCAGGCAGGACCAGGGTACCTTCAGCTATCCCAGACATGCCATTAACAAAGCCCTTGGAGAGTGGCTGTCCATTCCTCCCCAGCCAGTGTCTGGCTTCAAGGCATTCAGGGGACCAAGCCTGGGCTGTTGGTCTGTCTTGGTGCTATGTGACAATTGGAAGTGTACATTAGTGCTGAGGGCCAGGGAACTCTGCATAACTCCAGGGCTGGATGGGGTGTGTGTGTGTGTCTTTACACCCCAGGGGGCCTCAGGGAAGATAGGGAACTTGACATTTGGGAGTTTCAGGGTGTACAGAGAGGCTGTCCAGGATGGGAGATAGTTAAAGTGATCCGGGAGCTAACTGAAGTTACTCTGACTGTCCAAGCACTTCCCTAACCTGACCATATCTGGGAATTTCAGTTCCCCAAATAAGAAGCTCAGGGTCCCCATTCCAAAGCTCTCCTGAAGGGCAGGGCCTGTTCTGCCTCCTGTTCACAGTGAGGAGGGTTAAAGACAACCAGTCCAGGGGCAGAGAAAGTTATTAGAGGGTCCCTTTGCTTCAAGCTACCAAACTATCCTTCCCTACCCTGTTCAACAGCATATTAGAAAGGAAAGGCAGCCTGGCACCTGGGACCTGCTGCTGCTACTAGTTAAGAGAGAGGGGGTGGGGGTGGGCATGAGGATGGAGATGTTCCCCTCACCTTCCTGGGGCTCCAGGCCCCTTTGGCTCCCTCCGCCTTGGGAACCAACACTTGCTCACTCCTCACTTGCTCAGAGCAGCCCCAGAAATCTCCTTCTGCAGGGAACCTATCTCAATGGCCTCCATCTTCCGTCCAACTCTAAGTGCCCATCAGCTCTAAAATGTCAAGTAGGGACTGCTCTTTGGTACTTGTTGATTTGTGGCTTTGTATAATGTTCCATGTTCTTGTCTTGTTGTCTCAACTAGATTGTAAGCTGTAGAGGGCAGGAGCTGTGTCCTCCCATCAGACTGGGAGCCCCTGAAGAGAGCTACTGCTCAAACTGTTCAGAGTTGGGGCTCCCTGAGGGCAGGAACACACCTTCCCCATTGTCTCTGTTCCTACGTGCCAGAGGCTGAAGGGACCCAGCAGGAATGGGGGGCTGCCTGCCCCACCAGACCTCCTCACCAGCTCTAACCCCCAGACTCTGTTTCCCACCCCTTGCAGATGTGACAAGCCAAGGCGGTGAGCCAGGCTGGAGGAGGGAGCCTCCCTCAGGGTTTCGGGAACCAGACCTCTCACCTGGAAAGACTGATACAGAACGCCCCAGAAACCACGCAGCTGCCGCCACACCACCCTCACCATCAACAAAACAATCCTTAATCCAGAAACCTGAAATGAAGGAAGAGGAGCCTCTGCGCAGAGCACTTTGGGTCCGGAGGGCAAGACTCCGGCAGAAGCATTCCCGGGCAGGTGACCAAGCACGGTCCCTCTTGGAATTGGATCGCCATTTTTTTTTTTTTTTTTGCTGCTAAATCACCAAGCCCGGAAGAATAGAGAGTTTATTTCTGGGATTCCTGTAGACACACCCACGTACATACATACATATATATATGTATATGTATATATATACATATATATAAAATAAATATATATATTTTATACATTTATAAAATATATATATTCTTTTTTAAATTAACTTTGCTAACGTTATTGGTGTCTTCACTGGATGTATTTGACTGCTGTGGACTTGAGTGGGGAAGAGTGTCCCCACCTAGATCCCGACAGGGAAGAGGATGGGAGGAGAGACTCTGGCCTGGTCGTTTTAATCCCTGCTTGGGAGGCCAGGGCCCCCTTCCCTGCCTGGGAACATGCAGGGCCAGGGCATGGGGGCAAATTTGGCCCACTTTTGGGAACACTGACAAACCCAGCCCTGGCCCCTAGCCGCTACCCTGAGTCAAATGGACAGAAAGACAGATGACAGGTACAGGGAAGAGGAGGCTGGCTTCTGACCAGGAGTTGGGGGAGCCTCAGGACATTGCTGTGCTTTGGGGATCTTCACACCTTGCATAGGCACCTTGCCCCCAGGGGCACTGCCTGGAAGATTCAGGAGTCTTCACGTGGGTGGCCTTCATCTACTCTCCCCTGTATCCAAGATACCCAGGAGGCCACTGACAGATGTCCCAGTGAAGAGAGGAGACGTTGGTGGGAAGAAGGGCAGCCCCGTGACAGCTGCTCCTCCTGGGAGCTCACCCTCATCCTCAAAGGGAAGGGCCTTGTCCTCCAGTCTGGGGCCTTTCCCTGCTCCCCAATCTGGGGTGCAGCCTAGGAGGGCCTGATGTCCTCAGACCATTCAAACCACTAGTTCTGTCCCTCTGGAAGTCCTGGCTGAGTGTGTGAGTGGTTGACCCTCCTTGGCCCATGACTCGTCCCTTCCCGTGGCACAGAGAGAGAGAGAGGGCAGGATCCCCGAGCCCATGATGGAGGCAGAGAAAAGAGAAAGTGTTTTATATACGGTCTTATTTAATATCCCTTTTAAATTAGAAATTAAAACAGTTAATTTAATTAAAGAGTAGGGTTTTTCAGTATTCTTGGTTAATATTTAATTTCAACTATTTATGAGATGTCTCTCTTGCTCTCTTTCACTCTCTCTTATTTGTACTGTTTTTTGTGTATAAAATCCATGTTTCCAATCTCTCTCCCTGATCGGTGACAGTCATTACTAGCATGTCCTGAACAGATATTTAATTTTGCTAACACTCAGCTCTGCCCTTCTCATATCCCCAGCTCCCCACCACACATTCCTTTGAAATAAGGTTTCAATATACATCTACGTACTATATATATATTTGGCTACTTTGTATATATATACATATATATATATATATATATATGTTTATGTATATATGTGATTCTGATAAAATAGACATCGCTATTCTGTTTTTTATATGTAAAAACAACAAAAATAGAGAATTCTACATACTAAATCTCTCTCCTTTTTTAATTTTAATATTTGTATCATTTATTTATTGGTGCTACTGTTTGTCCGTAATAATTGTGGGGGAAAAAGATATTAACATCTCGTCTTTGTCTCTAGTGCAGTTTTTCGAGATATTCCGTAGTACATATTTATTTTTAAACAACAACCAGAAATACAGATATATCTTAAAAAAAAAAAGCGTTTTGTATTAAAGATTTTAATTCTAATCTCAAATCTCCTCCTGTTTCTCCTTCTCATTGAACCCTTGTTCCAGCTTTCTTCCCACCCTCTTTCACTCCTCCCTTGGGGAACCTGGCATTTGTCTTTGGCCTGGGAGAGTGGTCCCAGGTGTCTAGGACATGGGGTGACCTACTTCAATATGCTGGGGTTAGAGTCCTTCTACTTCTCACTGGGCTGGACCTGGAGGGAACTTGTCTACCCCCTGCCTTAATATAGAAGGGAGTCTGGACATGGGTGGTGAGAGGGACAGCTCCTTAAAAGGGGGCCATAAGCCATTGAGTAAAGTTGCCTACAGGAACCACAAGATCCAGGCCCCTGTCCAGTGGTTAAGGAAGTTGCAGCCCACGTCTCTGAGCTTGCTGCTCAAGGGTCAGGAGGAGGCTGGGCTTGGCTGTGGGGCTTTGTACATTGCAACAGGCTGGGAGTAGGAAGGGGGTGCTGGTGGGGGGCTGTGGCCTCAGGGCAAATGTAAGTGAATCTTGGAATTCCTTGAACTTCTGAAAGAGATCCACTACTCTGACCTGCCCACCTTATTGCATAACCCCTCTCCTCTCCTGGTCTTGGGGGAAATGAAAGCTGTCTATATCTTTGATATTGATGAGCAATGCTTCCAAGTACACTTTCTCCAGTTTTTGCGCTAGGCCCAGGAGGCTGTTATGAATAAGACATGGTTCCATCCCTCAAGGGTCTGGTGGAATGGGGAGACATAGGAAGAGCTATAAGTCTGTGACACGTGGTAAATGGAAAAATACATAAAATAAGGGAGCATCTGATCTAACTTTGGGCTGGAGGTTGTGTTGGAGGTGGTGGAATCTGGGGTCTTCTCAAGACATAACTTCTACACTGTCCATTAAAGGATGGGTAGGAGAAGAGAGGCAGAACGTGAAGGGGCAGGTGCAAGAGTTGAGTGCATCCCAGGCAGAAGGCATGGAAGTAGAAGTCAGATGAGGAGTGGGTGAGGGCATTGAGGCTGGAGAGATAGGCAGGGGTTAGCTCACTTGCAGTGGATGCCATGAGCCTTGGACCTGCCAGGGATGAGCAGCAGCCAAGGGGCCTTAAATAGGGAATGTTGTAGATGCAGGCAGGAGGCAGGGCAGCCAGGTAGGAGGGTATTGTGGTCCTTCAGGGAGATGTCCAGATGGGAAGAAGGCCTCTTTGGCAGCTGCGGGAGCTGATATGGGAGATGTGGTGTAGTAAATTACCTGGTACGGCTTTTCTAGCCAAAAGTCATTGGAAACTCTGCGGTGGAATTTGCCATGAGTGACTGAGGAGCTCCTGATTGTTAAAGTTATCCACCTGGGGTATTTCTGTTGAGAGTGGCACAAAGTAATGTTCTGGGAAGTTCCCTCTCTCTCAGGTGCTTAGAATTCTAATGTTATGATTGGTTAGTTTGGCTACTCTGCCAGGCTCAAAAGGAGCGCTCCTAGAGGCAGAAGTCTTTCTCTGACTGCTGGCTGAGAAAAACATGCTGCTGAGAGACACACGCTCCTGAAAGACATGCATTGCTGAGAGAGAGACATACATTGATGAGAGAGAGACACCGAGAGACACACATGCTGGGAGAGAGACTGAGAGAGACTATTGGCTGAGAGATAGTGGCCGAGAGACTGAATGTGTTTCTGAACTTGAATTGTAGCCTGTTGCTTCCCTAATGAATCCCATAATCTGTGAGTTCTGTGTGGCCACTGCAGCGAATTATTGAGCCCAGCAGAAAGGTGGGTGCCGTGGGAGGAAAGGTTAGTATCAGGGCTGGTGAAAAGGCTGGAGGGGGTGGCATGTTGGCCTTGCAGAATTAGGCGCTGGGCTACTGATGGTGATTCTGTCTTCCTCTTGTGGGGTTAGCAGAAGTAAGAAGTTACGGCCTCCCTGTCCCTTTGGCAGGAGGGGGTTCTCTGCCTCTTGGCATGTGCATAGACTTTGATCAACACTCTGGGGAAGACAGGAAGCAAGTTCTGCCCTCATAGAGCTTTTGTTCCCATTACTTACCACCACGTACCAGTTCCTACATTTGTTAACTCATCGAATCTGCATACCAACTCTGTGAGGCCAATGCCCTTGTCCTTCCCATCTGTATATTTGCAGGAGACTCCAAACTGGCCCCCTGGAATCTCCTCTCACCTCTCTTTAGTTGATTCCCTCACAGCAGCCAGGGTGAGCCTGTTAAAAACATGAGTCAACTCATGTTATCTCTTGGCTCAAAACTCTCCAAAAACTCTGTTTTAATCAGAGTAAAAGCCAAAGTTCATATAATGGCCTTAAAAGGTCCTGTACCATCTGGGGTTCTTCTACCACTTTGATTTCAATGGCTTCCAACCCCCCTTGTCACTCAGCTCCAGTTACACCCATTTCTCCTCAGATGCATGGGCATATGATCCTCCCTTGAGGCCTTTGCACTGGCTGTTTCTGCTCCCTGGAACACTCTTTTCCCCAGATGCACACATATGGGCTCCTCACCAGCAAGTCTTGATCAAACATCACCTCTCCAGTGAGGTCTATCTTGACCAAGATCTACCCTGACCACTGCATTTACAATAAACATTCCTCACTCTGAGCTTAGGAGCTTCCTTTTCATGATCCATTTTTCTTTTCCCATAGTGCATGCTAACCTTATAATGGACTCTAGAACAATGATGTTTAATAGAAATAAACTAGGAGCCATGTAGGAAATTTAAACTTTTCTAGGAGCCATGTTTAAAAGAGCTCTGGTAGCATAGTGGCTAAAGCACTTGACTGCTAACCAGAAGGCTGGCGGTTCAAACCCACCAGCCACTCCTCGGAAGGAAGGTTGGGCAATCCTACTTCCGTAGTGATACTGCCTCGGAAACCCAAGGAGGGGTCGCTATGAGTCGGGGGTCGACTCGATGGCACATAACAACAACAACAACAACAACATGTTTAAAAAAGTAAAAAGAAACAGGTGAAATTATTTAAAACTATTTTAATACAAAAAAAGAAAAAAACAACCCAAAAAACAAACAAACAAAAAAACCCAAACTCACAGCCATTGAGTGAATTCTGATTCAGCAACCCCCATCGGGTTTCCAAGGTGGTGAATCTTCATTATTGTACCTCCAGCTCTTAGAACAGTGCCTACAACATAGTAGGTGCTCAATAAACAT